CACACACACACACACACACACACACACACACACACACACATGCTTGCATACACACAAACCCAGTTAATTACAGACAGTGGAGACTGTTTAAGTTACTCGCAGCTTCAACAAGTTAAACAACCTGAACACGTCCGAGCTGCAGTTCCAGCCCCTCAGGTACTTTGTTAAAGAGCTAAATAATCACAGCCTGCATGTCGTACCTTTTCTGTGCGCACTCTGCATCCACCGCAGGTGTGAAAATTCAGGTTTGATCTCGGGGAAGTACTCAGGCTGGTGGAAGTGACTGAGAGGGACCTCCATGCTGCAAAACTCACTCTTAAAAACAGAAGGACCCGCGGCGTAGGAGCACGAGTAGTGCTGGCTGGGGGACCAAGCCTGCTCCATGCAGGGTGGATGATGAAGGGGCTGAGGCTCACAGTTGCCATACCCGGACCCTTCGTCCGAGTACATGCAATATTCCCCACCTCCCTGCACCGAATAGCTTCCGACGCCGGTGTGAGGCATCTCGTACATGTCCGGAATGCAATAGTTCATGATGAAGACCTTCAGCAGAGCACCATAAAAACTTCTGGGTCTACCCGGAGAACTATCTGCTCTCAAAAAAGAAAAACCTGAGCTGGCATCAAGCCACGAAATGAAGAAAATAACTCCTGATCTGAAAGGACTTGATGGAGTTGACCGTAATTAGGAGCAAACGCTTTATCCAACAAATCCACAGACCACAAACAACACCTTGCAACTGCCCCACCCGCCACCACCCGGCCGAATTGGGAAGCAGAGATTTATGACGACATAGGGCTCTAATCTTACACTTCACAAATCCGTGATGTACCACAGACAGTGGCGATGTCACAGATTAAGACATTACATGATGCACCTACTGTAAGAAACATCTCACACACACAAATCTAAAGAAAAGCTGATCCACGAAAACACAAATGGTTAAAAAACCTGCCTGAGGAGGGGTCGCATATGATACAAGAATTATCTTAACCGCGATCCTTTCCTAACCTCATAACCTTGGCCTTTACATTTTGACCATTGCTTATCCTCTGGGTATTTTAACAGAACCGACTAACAAGTTCCCTTAGGTCAGTTTATTGTTGAAGCCACTTGGTGAGTACTACAACACTAAGAAGGTTCTAAGAAGGGTTTTAACACATGGCCCTGATTTTTCACCAATAAGACTCTAATGTGTATTTAGATCCTGCTGTGCAGCTTATGGAAAGATAGGGCACATATTAGTGCAATTATTTGGGATTTACTTAGAATAATGAATACCTGCACAAAAACCAAAATAACATTTTGGTTTAGGTCAGCAGCTAAATCAAATTCAGGGATTGCGCCATGAAAAACTGTGCGAATGCATGTAAATGTACAAAATAGCACTAAGATTTATTGTCTCTTGTTGCACAAAGAATTTTAAATTGCTGAAAAACATTTAGTGTGGAAATTTGTAAACCAAAAATTCCAATTTATTTGTTTTTCTTGTCACTTTTAGACTCAACTAATTGTTTGCAAAATTAGTTGAGTCTAAAAGTGTTTTATATAGCTCTATATATTTATATATATCTATATATATAGATTTAAACAATGAAACATTGTGTGGTCCGTTTCTGTAAAGGCACTTATTAATGCCAGAGAGGTTATGCTCAGTCATACTAATGAGGCGTCCTCGTCAATAATAATGACAGCCTTGAGATTTAAATGTATTTCAAATTTGCACGGTAAACAATATTTTTTCACACACAGGTGTTAAAGTGGCAAACAGCGGGTCAGCATCATTAGAAAATATGAATTAAGAATGGAAGTCACTGACATTAATATGCATCTCGAGGCAGATGACCAAATATTATAGTCCATTTATGAATTACAGTAAATTATCATTTCATGTCAAATCATTGAAACTCTTCATGATGCCATGGACGAGCTTTTAAAATAAAAACTCTTTTTTCTTTTAATTTAGCATCACCAATGTCTCTAGTTAAGACTAACCAAAAAAAGTAGACCACCTGAAAATAGTAACAGTGCCACAATCACCTATTACAATCTGTTTAAAGGTCTGTTTTGGTATGTTGCATATCCATCCAAGTCAACCAAAAGATGTCATCTCTCCAGCGTATCCTGGGTCTACCCCGAGGTCTCCGCCTGGTGGGACATTACTGGACCGCCCCACAGAGGAGGTGCCCCTGGTCATCATCCCATCCCAACTGCCTCCTGTCGACACAGAAGAGCACGGGCTCTACCCCAAATATCTGGACTCTACACCCTGTCTCTGTGGGTGAGCACAGCTCAATCCAGCCACAAACCACTCCAGTACAAGCTGGCAGTCATTACTCCATGAAACAACAAAACCACGTCATCTGCCAGAGCTAAAACTGAACCAGACACTATGTGCCCCATGACTGTGCTTACAATTCTGTTCATAAAAACGATGCAGAGCATTGGTGTCAACGAGCAGCCCTGGGAGAGTCCAACACCCACCAAGAACCAGTCAGACCAATGCAGACCAAGCTCTGGTGTTGCAGGGACAAATAGCTTGCAACAACGAGCATGATATCCCATACTCCCAAAGCACCCGCCCTGCACAATAACTTAAGGGATGTGGTTGAATGGTACTAGTACTACTACTACTCCCATCCAATGTTGTGCAAATCTGCGTTGCGCACAAGAAAAAAAAAACTAACCTGAATTGAAATTAAAATTAAAACTTTAACAATTCTGTTCTGCAGTGTGAGTCAGTGACTGGCTGCTCCCGTATGGGATCAGAACGATGCCATTTTATCCCAAAGTCCAGCCAATGATGCGATTCACATTCGTATATACGCAGCTGATCAACGTGGCTGACAGGCTATGACAGCGTCCTTATGCACCGGTGTTTTAGCAAAGCAGCATTGACAACGTGTACAACCATTGGAGATGTGAGCAGGACAGACGGAACAACTGACGGAGAAAGTGTGGACTTTATACCAGTTTTTAAATCGTGTTGATCGGCCACGTAAAACCAGAGTTATGATAAAATATCTGCAATGTTTGGTTTTCTTCCTGAATACTGTCGTTGTTTATATTTACTGCAGGAAGAAACGGTGAAAACGGCGTTTTATAAGGAAAACGCTCGAAAGCCTGTGAGCAAAGACAAACCCCACCCCCTCTCTCTTTCCTATTCGTCCAAAAATGTACCATGTGGACCAATCAAAGAATGATATGGCAACATGGCATTTAGTTGTTTAGGACGGGGGAAGTTTTAGGAGTGACGGCGTGTTTGAGATGTGAGAGATTTGAGACGTTTAGCACAAATCTTGTGTAGTTAGTGTGTAGTTAGTGTGTAGTTAGTGTGTAGT